ACCCAAGTGAAAAACCAAGATGAAGTTTGAGGCCTCCTGGTTTTGAACTGGCTCATCCCTGGCTGTTGTGATCACTCAGGGAGTGAATCAGTTGATAGAAGCTCTCTCTCTTTTCTATCTATCCTTTTGCTGTCGCTGCCTTTCTGATAATTGCATGTTTTGTTTTTTTTTTAAGTCAAAGCTCATGGAGGAACACACAGAGAAAGACGCACCAGGAGCAATAACTGAACAGAAAGAATAGAAACCGAAAAGAAAGTTCAGAACAATATAAGGACAATCAAAGACACTCTCACATTTTCTTTCCAATCTCCAAATTGTGAAAAGCTTCTGCCTGTATTTTTGGGCAACAATGCTAGGATTATGAAATTACATCTCACATTGGGGCTAAGAATTAAAGTTCACGTATTTTGGAGGGATTAAGCACCATGAAGACAGCCTGGAGTGGTTGTCCATTGCTAACTCCCAGTTCGACTTATATCTGTTAATATCAGAAGAGATGAATGATTCTCCCAAGCCACGCAGAAGCACCAGTTGGCTTGAGTCATGAACAGCAATGCACAACCAAATGCAGGTTATTGTTCCACGCTGTCATTCTCCTGATATGGAGAAACCTTATCCCTGTGTGTGAGCAGAGCGGAAAAGTGATATCTTCCTGAGACACTTATCACGGTTCACACAGGGCAACAGCACAGAGAAATGACTGAGATTAAGATTTTATGTTGCTCTCTGTACAAGCTTACCATTAGTTTGCTCATTTCTTATCTCAAGAGTGTGTTCTTATGGTGCCGCTCCACTACAAGAGTTACAAAAGCCAAGTAAAATAGAGTGGATGTTACAGTCTCCTAATCTTTGACTTAATTTTATGGGCTCAGCAGAACACTAGGAATTGGCTCATGACCTATTTATCTATACCTCAATTATTCTCCATCAATTCTTTCTTAGTAATTTAGCATCCAGCATGACTACATCTCTGCCAGACACTAGGGTAAATATGAATAAATAAGGAAGGATGCAGGCAATGAACAGGGAAAGTCAACCAATATAAAAGGAGTAAATGCAAGTAGATGAATTATGGCAAATACATTTTCTATTTATCCTTAGTGTAGGATATAGGAAAATAATGTGTGAGAAAGGAAAGGTTGCAGTGGTGGGGGCTGCTGTTGGGAGGGGCTAGAGATTAAAAAAAAACTATCAAATGTTTAAAATTCATGAGAGGCCATAGCTTAAATCTTAAATTCTGACCATTAATTTAGAAGCTAATGCTAGGAACAGCAAGATTATCTTGGAAACACTCTTGATGAATGCATTATCTTCTATTCCGCTAAAAATGAAAGAAAGGGAAATAACTTCAGATGAGATCAAACAGGCACTGGCACAATAGACAGTTATGGCTCCTCAAGAAGAAATAGAGAGATGCTGCCTGTCTGGGAAAGATGTTTAGCTAACTTCTGAGAAGTGGGAGAAGTCAAACCCAGCCACTGTATTGATTATGCTGGTTTGGATATACAGCACTCTTAGAGGTTAAGACAGAGCTGAGCACTAAAACTGTTTCATGGGAAAGTTACTGTCTGTATGTAATGGGATGCTTTAAATATTAACTTTGTTTTTTTTAAAGATTTATTTATTTTTTGGAAAGTTAGATATACAGAGAGGAGGAGAGACAGAGAGGAAGATCTTCCGTCCGATGATTCACTCCCCACATGAGCGCAACGGCCGATGCTATGCCGATCCGAAGCCAGGGTCCAGGAACTTCTTCTGGGTCTCCCACACGGATGCAGGGTCCCAAAGCTTTGGGCTGTCCTCGACTGCTTTCCCAGGCCACAGGTAGAGAGCTGGATGGGAAATGGGGCTGCCGGGACTAGAACTGGCGTCCATATGGGATCCCAGCAGGTTCAAGGCGAGGACTTTAGCTGCTAGACCACTCTGCCAGGCCCAATATTAACTTTCCATATTCATATTTTAATATCTAAAGGACCGTCGATTATACAGATCTGTGACCTGCAAACTTCCATCAGGAAAAAAAAATAATCCCTCCTAAAATAATTTCCTAGAACTTTGGGATTTAAAAAAACACTTTTTAAAGATGAAAAAAAAACCAAATTGCTTCAAAATTAATGATTTAAGAATGGCTTTTTGTTCATCAAAGTGTCCAACATAGATATAAAATGAATGAATGCAAAAAAGATCATGTGGTTTATAATATATGGATTTTTGAAAGTCTTTTTCCTGATGATTCTATATTCATTAAGAAGTAACACAGAGACAGAATGTCCCCCCATTCTATTTCCTCCAATCTTACATTTTTAAAAGCATAACAAAATGATGGTGATTTTAAAAAAACTGCAACTATACAAGTTGCCAAACATTATTATTCATTGTGGAAACTATTAATGTGTTCTGTTCAACCTAATTCAATTGAATCTTAATTTCTCCAAAATATTTATATGAACCAATTTGGCACATCAGGATTAGTTTTAGACTGTTGTGCTAAGAAGAGAAAGAGAAAAAATGGTTGATTTCTAATTGGGGAGTGGAAATTGGGGTAGGGGAAACCCAGACTATACAAAATTGTACAATAAAATTCAAAAATTAAAAATTTTAAAAATAAAAAGGTTGATTTCTACATCTAAGCTTCTAAACTATCCTACGTTAGCTACTTTCAAAAGATCACCAAAAACCACTTTCTGATTTCGCACACAAATGGTTGTCACTGTTTAAGCTCCTTTGTCACAGAGTCATCTCACCTCAGCAATACTGAGGGATATATCATGAGGTTTACCATGCTCAACAGAGCTTGGGAAGAAATCAAATTTATTTCTGCTTCTCAGAATGCTGTGCTTCTGGGCCCAGCACAGTGGCCTAGCAGCTAAAGTCCTCACCTTGAACGCACCGGGATCCCATATGGGCGCTGGTTCTAATCCCGGCAGCTCCACTTCCCATCCAGCTCCCTGCTTGTGGTCTGGGAAAACAGTCGAGGACAGCCCAAAGCATGTGCATGGGAGACCAGGAGGAGCTCCTGGCTCTGGATAGGCACAGCTCCAGCCATTGCGGTCACCGGGGGAATGAATCATCGGATGGAAGATCTTCCTTTCTGTCTCTCCTCCTCTTTTTACATATCTGACTTTGTAACAGAAATAAATAAATCTTAGAAAAAAAAATAGAATGTTGTGCTTTCGAAATCTCTGAGTTGGATGTGTTTGTAGCTGGAGAGGGAGGCTCTAAATTCAGGCACAAGCACTCAGATATGCCACAAGTAGCCGATCACTCCAGAAGTCAGTAGAGTGACAAAGATTGATAATCAGCTTCTGGAAGACCAAGGTCATGAATCAACTTGCATCAAGTGAACTCTACACACGTCTAAAACCTGTCACTGGTGATACTGGGCTGAAAGCTGTCACGGAAGCATGTTATCTGTGCAGAAGGCTGTCAAGCGTTGCAAGTCAAGTAGAAAACTGGATCAGAGGGTCCGGCACATTGCCTTTGGCAGCCTTCAGGAATGCGGTGCCGGGGTGGCACTCAACTCCAATCTGATTACACCCAGGATGGCAAAGTTCTCATCTACTGCATTCAGATAGTCTGAAGAGCAAAATTCCCACCACAGGCCTCATAAGAGCATTTGCATTAAAAACATGAAGCAAGAATACAGACAGAGAAACTGAATTGTGAGGACAAGCACAGGGTCAATGCTGGAGGAACAGAGAGGTGCACAAGTTTATCCCGAGCAGCTACTCAAGACATGAGTCAAGGACGGTGGAAAGGAGCAGAGATGCAATATGACAACCTAGCATTTATTTTTTAAATTGGATATTGGGCGCAGCAAGGCATTCTCTGAACTTACACGAACAATCTATAACCAACAGTTACAGAACAGTAATTAGCAGGGGATCGGGGTAGGTGGGAAATGGTAGTACTTTGCAGTAGCCATGTTTAAAAACAGGTGATGCTACACAGTCACCAATCTCTAAATGACAACTGACTGAATCAAAGGAATGGGGAAGATCAAACTACCCATTAGATACAAAAAGGGCTGAGCCAGTTTATCGACACTCTGTGACAATAAGAAATATCAACCAAGCAAAATGTCACCGAAGATAAGAATTTTCTATCTTTGTCTACACCCTGGCCATCTGCCAGAACACTGCACAACGGTGTAATACTGTCAGTCTGTACTGCCTGCCCAGTGGGGTAGCTAGCATTACGGAATAAAGCAGAGAGCCAGCTACAAATGAAGAGCTAAACTTTAAATTTTGAAATTAAAACTAAATTTTGATTTAAAACTTCAATTCAAATCAGTCACACTCTGCTAGCGGCTACCATATTGAGCAAATTAGTAAAGGTCCATTCTATGCACCTTACAGCTATTAACTTATTTAATCATTACAACCCATGAGGTTTATTAGTCACATTGTGTATATATGTATATTTGTATCATATATACAATTACATATTTTATGTATATATACACACACATATAAAAAGATAGATATAAACATTTAAATCAAGGTACAGAATGGTTTAGTTATGTGCCCAAAGCCCATAGCTGGTTCTCAAATGAAAGAATGATTTAGACTAAGGATTTGTGGTTAAGGTAAGTAAAAAAGACATCCAAAAATACTGATTTTAACCTGTGCAAAGGTAAAGACATGGGCCCGGCGCGGTGGCACAAGTGGTTAAAGGTCCTTGCCTTGCACGCCCGGGATCCCATGTGGGTGCCGGTTCTAATCCCGGCAGCCCCGCTTCCCTTCCAGCTCCCTGCCTGTGGCCTGGGAAAGCAGTCGAGGATGGCCCAGGGCTTTGGGAACCTGTACCCACGCGGGAGACCCAGAAGAGGCTCCTGGCTTCGGGATCGGCATAGTATTGGCCCATTGCGCTCACTTGGGGAGTGAATCATTGGACGGAAGATCTTCCTCTCTGTCTCTCCTCTCTGTATATCCGCCTTTCCAATGAAAAAATAATAAAAATAAATCTTTAAAAAAAAAAAAAAAGGTAAAGACATATACCTGTTTTCCCTGTGTTTTTCATCCAGGTTTTGTTAGAGGACTCATTGTCAAAGCCATCAAGCTGCAGCTCCTGGTATTCCTCCCCGACACGTGCATGCTGGTCCGAGATGTCGATAGGAGACTGGTGATGGCCTCTGCAGCTGACACTAGAGGTGACCCAGTGCTCGGGACCATAGGCACCTATGGAGAGAAAATAACACTTCAGTCTTCATGGTTCAAGGGGCATGAAAGAAACAGGCAAAATACAGCAACACACTATCGTTGAATACAACTATCACCACAGGTGGATGCATTGGAAGCCTAGCTCAAACGTAACTGTACTGAGAAGTAGATGGATTTTTATGAAATGGGGTCTAGTAGGAGGTGATTGAGTCATGATCGCCCCATGAAAAGATTAAGGGTAGTCTTGCAGAAGTAACTTCTTACTAAGCAGCACTGTTAGAAAGAATGAGGCTGCCCCCTCCATTGACCCTTGCTGTGTGATACCTCTGGGGTATATGTAAGTTTGCATGCATATGATGTGATCTGTCACAAGCCCTCAACAGAAGCCAGGGGTTCTGCCATGCTATTGGGACTACAGAACTACAAGCAAAAGAAAACTCTTTGCCTTACAAAGTGCCCAGCCTTAGGTATTTTGTTATAGCAATGTAAGATAGACAAAAACAGAAGTCAAGCATTATATTTTCCAAAGTACATTTCCCAACATGTTCCCATTCGAAATAGGTCACCAAGGTACTGAATACCATGAAGCAAAGCCATTTGCTTGACAAAGCAAGATTTCAGAAAAATATGTCACTTAAAATAGCCTTGCTCTTGACTTGCAATTAAATATTTGCTAACAATTTACATTTAACAATGATTCAAGCAACTATACAAGAGTTGTTGGAATTGTTTGTAGTTTTGAAAGCGTTTAAGTTTCTCTAAAATAAACAGAGCACTTATTCACAAGAAAGTGCTTTCATCCCTTATTTTTGCTACTGTGCACTGAATATACTTTCTTCCTAACTCATACAAATGTATAAATAAGAAAAAGAAAAAAGAACAGCACACAACTGGACAAGAGTTATTACAAATGATGGAGTAGTAGCAAGGCGGATTTTTTCCACTTAACTGCAAAAAATTTTCAATTTGCCCAATTGGCACTCCTGAAAGTTAAGACACTCATCTCTCCTCTGGATTTCGGCTCTCTTTCAGAAGATGGAGAAAGCTATCTCCATGCTAAACTCAGTTTATGTGAATAAACAAGGACAGAGAAATAAAGGAGAAGAGTGTAATTAGAATATAAATCTAATGGGTATACCAGATACACAGGTATAGAACACAAAATAAAATATTGCGGGAGCCAAGTCTTTGACTCAGAATTTTGTTATCTGGCAAATACTTCAGGTATTTCATTCCGAACATCTGGGTCATTTCCTCTAAGCCTCATTGCAAGCAATAAGATAAACACAATCAGAGAGAACTTGACCATGGATTGGTCAAGATTTGGCAAGCTTGGAACACTTTATTTTAATTTATTTACTTGGGGGATGCTTTAAAAGTCACAGACAAGCACCATAACACTTTCTAGACAAAGATAACATCACAATTTTGTCTATTGTAGGACTCTAACTGAATTAAGAAATGTCAAGGGCTTCTCATGCTTTAACTCTTGGTCAAATTCACTAAGAGTATGATGATTCATAAAGGGACAGAGAGTGCATTTGCATGATTTTCAGCCAAACTCCATTTCATACTGCATTCATGTTATTTGAAGGGAATGAGGGGAGGAAAATCCAACCTAGTAAATTACTCCAATTCTCTTCTACATCGTTCAAGCTTTGACCAGACACCAAAACAATTTATGCAGAAACTAAATGAAGTGATTATTGTATAATTTTGGGGTGCCAAAATGTGAATTTTTGTTGGCTACAATTGGGTCTATACACCCAAATTATGGAAAATGTTGTTTTAATATTGCATATGTATATGTATATAAAACACTTTCCAGAAATGTACTAGGTGTAATTAAATTGTGCTCCATGTAAAATAATGCTGTGAGACAGGATAAAATAAATTAAAACATGTATAACTCTAAAGGAATAACACATGCAAGCCTTCATTTGTAAACACAGACGTTTTGTTATATAATTATCTTAATAGTAGCAATTTTTAAAATCCACATCGTAAGAAAAGTACCTATCATTCACCTAATTTCTCCTAATCTTCTAAACACAGGTGAAACATAATTTAGCACTCAATAAAAATACAATCAGAGCTCCTAGTAGTAAGATCCATTAACTCACTGGTAACCATCTGAAGATTTAAGCTTGACTACATGCTTGCTTTCACACTTCCACCCAATATACATTCAAGTGCAATTTTAATTGAAACTGATCTTCCACTTCAGATTTTAAATTAATTCTTCTTTGGAGTTCTTCATGCTCCAGACACCACTGCCTTGCAAAAACCCCTATGTCATCACCGGAGGAAACAGAACAGCTTCCTCCAAGCTTGCTGGTATTGATTACCTACTCTCACATCGGAGCTGCACTGCCATTCTGGTCTGTGTATATCTCCTTGGTGCTAAGACACTTTATAAAGGACTGAGAATCACATCATTAATCATCTGCAGTTGCACACATCTCATGAAACCGAATGCTTTGTTTTTCAGAGCTCTGAATAAATGCTTCTAAGTAAAAAACATGACACTAAGATTGTGCTTAATGTATAACCAGCTTGGAGAGAAAAAATAATCAACAAGAAGGCTTCTCTCCGATATGATAATACCCACTGAAAATAAGAAAATCATTTGCACTTTAGTTTTCTCTACAAACTCTTAGCATGAGCAGGATGTTTGCATTTGAGCAGTCATATCTACTCCGAGCTGCTTACAAACTCCTATTTTACAACTTTATGGACGAGGTTACTGAGAGTGGAAGCCACAGGGCAGACCAGGGTGCCAAAAGCAATCTCCCATTTGCCTGTTAAAAGTGTTGTAGGAATGAGATCTTAATGGAGACACCCTGTCAAGCTGTAACTACCAAGGGAATATAATGGCATTTCTCATTCAACCTGATGACAAATATTTTCTTTAAGAATTCAATAAATGCATCTGAAACCCAAGCCAAGAGCAAGACCTCAGATTCAGTGTGCCTCTGTCAGAGATGGTAGGGTTTCTGTGCTATCCTGGCACCAGTTTCTTGGTTTCCTCTGACTTCACTATCCCTGCCATAGTTTACAGTTCACTATCGGAAGTCACTCTTCCCCACTAGTTCTTCCTGTGTCATTTGTACCTTTATGCCAATCCCTAGCACATGGTCTTGCAGGTGATAAAACCTCAACATCAATTTTAGGGTTTGAATAAGTGAATTGGTATTAGAGATCAAAAAGTGCTATGTTTTACCTTCCGGTGATACTTTGCATTTAATTTACACAGCTATCTGCTGACTTCTTATTACAATGGCTTTACTCCCTTGAGTGAGAAGGTCAGTTTCAGAATGCTCCCTTTCTTTACTAACACATTAAATTAAACCGACAAGGGTACAACGATCTGCCCAAGTGATGTGCACAAAAGCATCTGAGTGCAAATTTTAGAACCCTGCCAACACCAATCACGGTTGGATAAAGAAAGGGTGTAGTATGACATTTGTTTGCATTGTCTTTTGAGAAGCATGATTATTTTTACACATCTTATATTTTAAAAGTTGAGTAAACTTTTAAAATGGTAGCCATGAAACATTATTAATATCATTTATGGCTTACTTGTATATTAAAAAAACCCACTTGCTTCCTTAGTGTGTCATTAACAAATCAGTACATTTTCCTCATTTTGAGATTCCAGAATTACACACATTCGCATCAGCAAGACATTTTCTCTAAGAGGGAAAATAAATCACACATCTGGAGATTAATTCCAACTGGCCTGTTTGAGGCAGACAACATTCCCTATGTCAAATCAGAGGTAAATATTGTGAATCCAAGCTCCTGAGACTCCATTTGATGCTCAGTATTTTTCTTTTCAAGTAGATTTATCCTAAAGAAGTTGGCTGAAGTACATACATTTACCTATTTCTTTGAAAAGCAGAAAGAGAGAGAAATCTCAAAGGCTAACTCATTCTCCAAATGTTCAACTGCCAAGTCAGGCAAGCTGCCATCAGGCCCCAGGAACGGAGTCCACTTCTCCTATGTGTAGGGGAAGGACCCTACTCTTGGAACCATCTCTGGTGCCTCGTAGGGTTTACATCATCAAGAACCTGGACTCACGAGCAGTGCCAGGACTTGAATTCAGGTGCTTGTACACTGCATGCAGGAGTTTCAAATGGCATCTTAACGGCTACAACAAATGCTGGCTCCCATGTGGACTCATTTTAAGCCAATGCAGAGAATTCTGTTCAAATGAAAATTTAATTTTGCACCACTCACACCAAACACACTGGAGAAACTTTAAGGAGAGCACAACTGGTCAGCAAGTAAGACTTCTCCATGAGGCAACTAGGTGCTGCATTTCAGTACATTACTGGATCAACAACTGGCCTGAGGAAGGAAGCTATAATTTTTATTTTACAGCATACAAATCATATTTTCACCTCAAAACAGGGAACTTTAAATAATAATCCATGATTCACATTCCAAACAATGGTTTCCTTAAATACATAAGAGGTATTGACTGAAAATAAGCATGTACCTTGAATTTATTTCACCACAATAGATCCAAATAATGGTTTCTATTCACTAATGAAAAGCCATTAAAAATAATGAATTCTGTCTAAATCTAATTAAAAACAAAACTAATATACATGTTATGTGCTGTTTCCAGTCAAAAATGCATATTAATGTATCCCTCAAGAAATTTACATTAAAAGTATTACCTGAATCTTGTCTACTTTAATCAACAGTAGCAATCCCAAAATATGAGCTTCCACTTTTTTTTTCGTAAAGTATTATAATTAATGCTTTGTCTCCCAAACACATATCTTTAAACACATATCTTTAAATTATTTAATTTTTTAATTAAAATTCATTTTGGGATTTGCTATACGGTTTTTTTGCACACCGTAGTACTGCTAGTTTAGTTATCTTTCATGCACTTACTACCACGAATGTGAAAAATGAAAATGGTAAAAAAGCATTCAGATGGCAGCTCTCAATATTTTTACTTTATTCTGCTATAATCACAAAGTTGTTCAACTGGGTTAAGA